AGCATTTCTTATAACTATCAGTGTTTGACATCAACTAGGAGAATTTTTTTCCCATTCCTCCATGCAGAATTTTTTCCAGCTAAGCAGTGTTTGAGGGCTTTTTTTTTTTTTTGGTTTTGCATACATAGCCTGTTCTAGATCACTCTACAGCATCTTGATGGGCTTTTACTTGACCATTTCAGAACCCTCAATTTCTTTTCTTTCTTTCTTATTTTCAGCCATTCATTGGTAGATTTGCTAAAATGTTTAGTCATTGTCATATTGCAAAGTCCACTTTCAGTTGAGTTTCAATCATCTCACATTATCCTCAAGCATCCTTGGTATGATGAAGAATTCATTATAGATTCTATGATGGTGAGCTGCCCAGACCCTGACACAGCAAAGCAGTTCCAAACCATAATATTTCTGCACCATGCTTTACAGTTGGCATCAATTTCTTTTGGTGAAATGCTGTCTTTGATTTTCTCAAAACAGGTCTTCTGGTATTGTGACTTAATAACTATCTACCATCAACAGCACTTTGCTCCAGAAGCCCGAGGTGTTTATGAGCAAACTTTAGTCTTGCCCTGATGTTCTTTATAGATAGCAAAAATTCTGTCTGTAGGTCTAATTTGTACAGTTTCTTTCTAATTGTGGACTGCCATTTTGTCACCAATAGTGATAAGAGCTGCCTTTGGTCACAGGATGAAATTCTGGAGTTCTTAAAGAGTTCTTTCAGCATCTTCCATTCAGCTCTTGGGTTGAACTTGCTGGAACAGCCTGGGTTGGCCAAGTTGACAGTTGTTTGAAATCTCTGCTGGTAGATGATCTTCTTGACAGTGGAATGATCGATGTTCAATAGTTTTGTGATTTTATTAAATCCCTTCCCAGACTGATAGACATCTGTAACCTTCTTTCTGAAAAACTCAGTGAGCTCTTTTGTTCTAGGCATTGTGATACCACCTACTTCAGCAACAAAGAGAAAATCAAATTAAATGTGATTTAAATAAATAACCTGCCAGATCCTCTCTAACAATGTTAACAGTCATCCGAACCTGATCTGCTGCAGTTGATTCTAATTTTAGGTATTGAACTAGTGATAAATGTAGTAGCATGCTTATTTTTTTATATGTGGACTTTGCCTTTATGTTTATTTAAATTACAAAGATTACAAACATGGTACATATTTGTTAGTACATCATCAGACTAGCACTGATGATGTTAGCTAGTTTGGATAATGAAAGTATGCAAGAAAACAAGCAAGCTCAGAGAGCACCAAGGGCCCCACATATTTGTTATACATCCCCTTTATCAATATTGTTGAAATGAAGATCAAATATTAGTAGTACTCAGGTTATGACCACCTATTCAGCAACTGTTCAAAGTTATGATGGTGTAGTAGAACAAGTGGTACTTATGACAGGACACAGAGTTACAGCTGTCAGAGCACTCCAATAGTCATACGATTGTAATTCAGGAACTGTGCACTTATGGCACCAGTCATGTGATCACTATTTGCAACTTTCCCCGTTGGCTTCTCACAAGCATAGTCAATGGGAAAACCAGTATAGAAGATTGAAAGTCGCTGTCCTAAGTCATTCTGCATTTTTTTTGTCCTGACAAGCCCTGCTACAACAGACTATACTGTAGAACCCAGTGATCTTGTACTCAATTGCAACTTCTTGCCTGCACTTTTTAGCACATGCTCACCTGCAGCAGCCAACAGTCCCATGGATCCGTGGGATTGCCATCACTAGATGATATGGTCACATGACTTGCACTTTACAATCATATCATTGAGTGACAGAAATTCCAGTTCTAATTGTTGTCATAACCTAAGGGTGATAGTTTTCTCTTAACAACAATAATTAGATATCTGGAATCTCAGTCATTGAGCAAAAGTATTATTGAGATGTCACAGGATTGCTCACGTGACTGCTTCACTCAACAATTTTAATCCTAGCACTCCCAGTTATGGTCATTAAGCAATTGTGTGAGTCATTAAGCGGATGAAGTCCCAGGTAAGGTGCTGTGGGGAGGGAAGCTCCTGGGAGGCTCTGCTCAGGACCCGAATATCCTACCAAAGCCCAAGCAGGATTTTCAGCCCCAGAGAGACAACTCACATGTGGCTTGCACCAGGCCTTCCAGGATCTCCCCAACCCGGAATGGGACAACTTGCCACAGCCAATTCGCCATGGCAATCTTGCCAGTCAATTTGCCACAGCCAACACACCATGGAATACCTCACCACGGCCAATTCACCGCGGGACAACTTGCCACAGGACAATTCAACAATGCAATTATTTAANGAGAGACAACTCACATGTGGCTTGCACCAGGCCTTCCAGGATCTCCCCAACCCGGAATGGGACAACTTGCCACAGCCAATTCGCCATGGCAATCTTGCCAGTCAATTTGCCACAGCCAACACACCATGGAATACCTCACCACGGCCAATTCACCGCGGGACAACTTGCCACAGGACAATTCAACAATGCAATTATTTAAAATCATTTAAACATTTTTTGAATTTTAGTCATTTGTCCCTCCTTTGGCAATCTTTCTTTAATGGTTTTATTCCACTATTTCTTCAATACTAGTGTAACTCTTGTCCTGCCGTGAGTTGTCCCGCAGCAAATTGGTCATGGCGAGTTGGCTGCGTGGAGTCATTGCTCTGCTCAGGATCCTACTTGGATTTTGGCTGGTTGAAAAAGCTGTGTTCTGAAGTGTGTAAGTTCCCTTCCATGAGCGGAAAGGAACTCCTTCAGTGGGGTGGATAGATTTAAGCTGCACTTCTGCACTTTTCTCAACTTTCCTCCATGCACAGAAGGAAACGCCTTCTGTGGGGTGCAGAGACGAAGCTTAATTCAGTTAATTAATTGAAATAAATAATTGTCTCACAAATATAAGTTAGGTTCAAACTTGGAATGTTAAACTTCCAAGTGGGTCTCATCTTGTCCGTTATTGTCAGCAGAATAATTCAGTATTAAGCTGCAATCTTTATTCACGTGAAGCTGGTGCAAAGGATTTGGAAGAGGTGCTTCGCAAAGCATACTGGCATGAGTGAGCAACCCCTCCTTGGAATCTTAAAAGTAACATTTTTGGGAAAACCTGTGCAGGTGTTTCACAAACTATCCCAGCTGCTTCTGCACAAATGCATGCACAGCTGCTTTGCTGTGTCTCAGGTGAAATGGTGTCTGTGTGCGTATGTACTAACATTTAGGTTTAAAAAAAATATTTTTGCACAAGATGACTTAATTTTATTTTGCACTTAAAATGAAGCTGCCATATTAATTTGTTAATATTTCCTTCCAATGGTATCCAATTACGATTAGCCAGTATACAGTCATAGATGATTATGTGAGAAATGATAAACAGATGATTCCAACAAGATACAAACTGAATACTGTATATTATTTCAAATATATATCAAGCACAGCCTGGCCTTTCAGTCGTGTATAAATCAAAATAAATTAGAGGATAACATTCAAAACCGAAGCCACAAGTCTTTCTTAAAAAAAGAATTATTGTTTATTCAGCGTTACACTCTTGATTCCTTGGCAACAGATAAATATAACATATATAAAACCCTATTGTTTCCCACCCCATTTAATCTTAACTAGGGCTATCTCCCTGCTATTTTAAAATAAATCTGATAACTTTGATTGCTGGTTAATGATATTTTGGAAGAGCAGGTTATATTCTCAGAACCTGTTATAAAATAAACTTCATTGCTGTCTTATACACTCAAACTGCAGATTCCTCATTACTGTTTTTTATACACTGCAGATTCCTAAGTCTGCGCTTTTAACTGTTAACTAAAATCATTGGATTTTTATCCCACTTTCTATATAAAAATGAAGATGGTATATATAATACTCCTCCCTCCTACTTTCCACACAACTACCACCCTGTGAGAGGTAAGTTGAGCTGAAAGAGAATGACCAGCCAAAAGCCATCCAATCATTTTCCTTTAAGAATTGGTTTTTTCCAGGCTAAAACTGAAATACATTGGAAAATGGGTGTTCCTATAAATAAAAAATAATGAAATACCCTTTACTGATAAAATACAATTTATAGCAAATAATAATTGAAAGGTTAGCTGTAGTAATCAAGTCAAGACTGACAAACGTTTTGCTTACATTAACTTTCATTCAAGGGACTTGACCCAGATTAAGAGTGGACAACCTTCATTTGGGGGAACATGCTGTAGACCAGGGGTGTCAAACTGCCAGCCCGTGGGCTAGACGCATCATGCAGAAGCCGCACCCACCCCATTGCCGGCAATGGCAAAACCATCCTGATACGTTGCGCGACGTCACGTGATGTTGCGAGTTTGACATGTCTGCTGTAGACCATAGTGAGTGGTACCACTTCAGACACCGGGGTGAGGCCAATGTTTACCATTGTTGTTTTTCACAGCTCGTGGATGGAATATTTGATTGTGTTATAAAGCTGTATTAAGCCCATTAAAAGGATTTCAGTACTGTACAATTTTTGTATGCATTTTCTAGCTCAAAATAGCAGGAAACTCTACTGCTGTTATCTGGCAATCATAGTTGAGAAGTGGTTCCAAGTGCTACAAGAAAAATATTGGCCATGCATGCAACTGGTTTTATAAACTGTAACTCATACAGATTATAATGATGTTAATCTATTTGCACTTGTTACAAGTTTACCCTGATGAACTGCTTTGTGTCAGACAATGATCTTGCTTAAGAATGCATTAATAATGAATGATGAACAAAGAAAGTATCAGTATTGATACAAGGAAAGCATAACAACTACATATATTTATTTGGTACACACAGATATCCTTCCTTCCTTCCTTCCTTCCTTCCTTCCTTCCTTCCTTCCTTCCTTCCTTCCTTCCTTCAAAACTCTGAGCAGACCTTTTCTTTAATACTTCTGAAAACTCATATAGACTGGCTCAGCCTATTATTAGTCCCTTAGAACAGAGGTCCCCAACCTTTTGGGCACCAGGGACTGGTTCTGTGGAGAGAGGGTTCTCCTCGGACCGGAGGTTGCGTGGTTTTGTGTGCTGCCTGCATCCCAAGGATGGGGCTTTGCTTGTTTGTGCGGACCAGTTGCTGGCATGCCACAGACCGGTACTGGTCCATGGACCAGGGGTTGGGGACCCCTGCCTTAGAATCCACTGCACTTAATACTGTAAGAATGAAATGCCCAGGTGGTGTTTTTTGTATGTATACACAAACAGAGGAATGTGAATTCAGCACCAGTCATACCAGTATTTTTTTTTTCCTATAACATTTTAAGAAGAGAAAACAAATTTGCTCCTTCACTTGTGGTAAGTAGTTCTTCCAGCAGCAGGCCACAAAGCTCAAAATCAGTGTCAGTGGAGGCAGCTTGTGGCCCACTTTTAGGCACAGATCTTTGTTCTCTGTAGTGATACAGATTATCTCTATAATAAGCAAGCTTTCCACATTATGATGCTTTCCTCATCTTGTTTCCTGCTTGCATTATCTTGTTATACTGCTTTTAGTTCTGAAGACTGATGGGATTCATTATCTCCAGACATGATAACGTCATCAATAAAATAGTTTCCTGAGTCTTGACTGATCTGTTCCAACTCTTTGTCAAATTTGAAGTCATCCAGATTAACTTTACTTGGAGGAGCAACATTGGAATTTATGACCATACATTTGTCTGTTTGCTCTTCTGCAATTGGCAAATAAAATCTGTTCAAATCTCTTTCTCCAATGCCCTGCAGTGGAACAAAATAAAGTGATGAGAAAAATGTAAACAGGTTTTTAAATAATTTAATAAAATTATCATAAAACCATAACCATAAAATTTTGCAGAATCTATTTATTATGCAAGTCACTATTAAAGGTTGTATAGAGATAGAATTAAGCTAATTCACTAAAATTGAAAATACTGCTTAAATTCTGAAAAGATTATTAACTCTTGAGCATCAGCCAGACCAGCCTAATTACTAGAATATACTTTAAAATCTAAATAATTGCACAAAAACTGACACCAAAATCAATGGTTGAACATGAATAGGAAAGAATTCAACAGAGTCTAAAGTCCTGCAATTTCATGGAGCTCTACAGTTTGCTGTCTTCACTTAGTCAGCAGTATAAAATAGACAGCAATATGAACAATCAATAAAGTGAAGAGAGATAAAATACAGACTGCTTTAGTAGCCAGTAGAATAGCTTCTGCTGTATGTCAAAGAGAGAGGGCATCTAGGTTCACAGCTGCAATAGTTAATTTGGCTATTTGGAGCATTTGAGAAAAGAATGGGGTACTCATGAGTTGCCAATTATAACCTCAAATGAATCAAAGTTCTCTGTCATTGTCCCTTCCCTACAGAACAGCATCCTCACAGAGATATGTACTGTATGTGCCCACTCCCAACAGAATTTTAAAAATTTCCACATGAACGTAGGCGATATTTCTAGCCTACTTTCCCACAATTATTTTCATTTAATTATTGAATTATTTTAAATAATACATTAAATTGTTGATAAATACCTCTATGTTCATTGGAGGTTTACATTTAGGGAAGAATGCATATTTTATATTTCTCCAAGCACAATACATAGCACCGATTAAAAGTATTATAAAAGTCATGACAAGAGAAATTAGGAGGATGACATCTGAAGATTTTCCTACAAGACAAAAAGAGAATCAAGCTAAATGGAGTGAAATTGGGTTGCACAAGAAAGCAAAGTGAATCTCTTCTCACTTGTAGCCTTGATGGCTTGTATCATGCAGGACAGAATTATATGTTTGCATAAATACACACTTAAAGGTGTTTTCCCTTCCCATTTTGTTCATTGTAGTTTGGATACAGAGTTCTAAAATCTTCCCCAATATACCTCCATTGTACCTAATTCAAAATTTTAGTCTTCTTACTATCAGGAGCAACTGATCCAAGAAACTCAATGGAATTACTCCCCCCCTGCCAGTAGAGGCCAGCAGAGTCTCATCCCCATGAAAATAACTCCTGTAACAAGCAATCATCACATAGAACAGAGGAAGGGTTTACATCAGAGTTCCTCAACCTTCTGGGTTGGCAGCCCGAAGGGAAAGGGAAGAGCAGAGAAATGTGTGTGCACGCGTGTGCGCATGCGCAAACAGACTGTGTATGACGGTGGTGCCAGCATCTGCACGCATGTGCCAGCGGACCACACGCACCCTTGGTGGTGCTGATGGCAGCGCTGTTGCCTGCACGCCTGCAAACAGGCTGCTAGCAACCGTGCGCATGTGCAAATGGGTCGCTAGCAACTGTGTGATGCTGGCGGTGGTGCTAGCACTCATGCGCATGTGCAAATGGGGTCACTAGCATGAGTGGGGGGTGCGCATACTCGCCAGCCATTCCCGCGGCCCACTGGCCAACAGGTCACGGCCCAGTATTGGGCTGTGGCCCACAGGTTTGAGACCCCTGCTTTACATTATATTTTTATGTAAATGTAATTTTATAATATCAATCCTACCAGCAGCAGTGTTTAGCTACTCACAGATTTTTATAACACTCAGCCTTTGGCCAATGTGTGAAAACACAAAAACAATAAAATAGAATAAAATATTATCCATCTTCCCAACACAATATAAAATAGCTTGAAATATATATATAAGAAACAAAGGCAGTTCCAGGTCTGAAAGCCCACCAGAATTAAATTTTCAATTCCTTCTGAAATATCAGTAACATAGGGGCCAAACACAATTCTAAAAAAGTATGGCAAAATACAGGTAGTCCTCGATTTACAATCAATTTTTAACAACCATTGAAATTCATGACAGACTAAAAAAAAATTACCTTTGACCTATCCCAGAATTATTTATGGCTTATTTTTGTGGAGAAATAAGGACATCCATATATAGTATATAGACTCTGAGAGTGCAATTTTGTCTCAATAAAAACTGCAAATAAAATGATTTTATGCATTCTAATAAATATGCAATTTAACATAAGATTGAAAATAGATTCTCATTGAATCTGCCATATTATGAAATACAATCCTTTTGAATCTTTTTCAAAATCATTCCAAAGAATCAGAGTTATATTGTTAAAAATCTGCTTTGAAGTCTGTGAATATTTTGAGGTTGCAGTTCTTTTAAAAGTTATGAATGTAATTTTACACTTTGAAACCCTAATATACCTAACAGGCTCAATATAAATACTAAAAATGCGAGCAGAGATATAAGATTATTCAAATCAAATGTTAACATACCTTTGGCTGTTTTAATGCAAGTTACATTGCTAAAAGCACTAGTTTTATTATATGTTTTAGTATATGCTTGCACTTTTAAGCAATATAATGTTGAGGAGGTCAGATTTGAGATTATAAACTGTGATGGTTTACGTCTGAGTTCTTTCTGCAAAAAAAGATGAAAGAGGGAATACATACCTGGATAAACCAGACCAACAAGTAAATCATAATAAATTCTGGGAAATATTTTATCATTGAAAGTAATATTTAGTACAATTGCAGAAATATGAGTCAGTCAATCTGAAGAATAGAAAAATACTGGCGACAACTGATTTGACTATCATTAGATACTATTTCCTAGTTAGCAGTATTTGGAATGACACATTTGTGTGAAGAAAGCACACTTGTGTGACAAAATTATACCTTCTATTTGAAGATACCGAACTGAAAAGACAAAATTGTATGATATTAAGGATTCATTGAGAGCAATTATACTTGCACGTATCTTGAAAATTATTTGAAAAATATGTGGAGAAAATACAGAAGCGCAAATAGAGCAGCTCTTAAACAGTACTACTACAAACAGTAGTTTGACAACTACTGTTGTGTGGGCTATTCAGTTGTCTAATGGAAATGTTATCCTGGAGAAAGTATGAGGGAATGCACTGCACTGTTGGCATGTCCTTAACAACCTGCAATTTGAATATATAACCATCTTCCAAAACAAAACCCATAAATATTTTGAAGGGGATTCCAATGACAGGATGTTCTGCAGAAGTGAACTATAAAATCTCAGTGAATGAGTTAGGACATATGTACACATTCACAACAAACAATTGTTTGTATTGGGCTCAATGTTGAAATAATTCAAGAGGAAGATAAAAGCTGCATTTTGCCAATTCTGTTAGTATGGTACACCAGTAATTTCTTCATCATCTTCCAAGTGGCCCAGTTGGGCGGCAAAAGCAGCAAAATTATCAGACATTTCATAGGTTTATAGAAGGCTTGAGGTAAAAGGTTTTGATACAAATATGTATTTGCTCTTGAACAATAAAAACGTTACCTCGATAGATGAAGTCCAGTACCAAACGTTGTAAGTCAAGTCATACTTATCACTCATTGGTTTGTTTTCAGACTCTCCAGGAGAAGCGATGAAGACATTTATTGAATCCTCAGTGGCATTGACTGAGACAGTTGGTGGGCCCATTTTATCTTTAAAATAATTTTATATTTATTAAACATTTAACACGCTTAATATTGGGGACCTAAAACTCTAAAACTAAAGCAAAATTTCTATTTCAAAATAGAAATTGATTTTTTTTAAATTACACTTTTTTTTAACAGCCTCTGCCTGTAGGATAGCCGTGTAATTCTAATTACATTCTTCTGAATATAACTAAATATTTGAGAGAGCAATCCCCAGTGAAATACTGCTACCACATTTCCATTCACTTCAGAGGGATTCTGATATTACAACACAACAGAGAAACCATTTTCAAACTGGGGTGGGTTGATATCCACTCAGTCTTATTGCCCTGCCTCGCCTTTGTGTCCAATTGAGTTGCTAGGTAGAGTGTAAGGCACGATATGATTTTCCTTTCCAAATGGAAATGAGAATCCAATCATTTTGTACGAGGGTTTTTAAGGGAATGGGCACTTCAGGCTCTGTAAGCTGTGTAAGCTTCCTAACCACATCCAACCACATTTTTTTTTAAAGAAATCAGAAAATGTCATCCATACTTATTGTGCTTACTAGGAGGAGCTCAAATAAGTTACTTAAGGCCATAGGCTCCCCATACTAGTTAATAAGAGTTTACACTTGTTTAAAAAAACCAGACTCTGCTATGATATAAAGTGTTCTGTGCTTTACAGTAAGCTTTCAAGAAGTGTTTCTATATGCATACACGAACACACACACGCATTACGTATAAGCTGCACTACAGAAATTTTGATGAATAATACCAAGTAGCTGTCTATTATTCATAAACAACAACAAAATGAATGTATGTAAGTAGGTGAAACTTACTTTGTTCTATAGGTTCAAATTTTAAGGTTTTAGACCAAGGTGACTTGTTACGACTATCTGCTGCCTGCACACGGAGATAGTAAATTCCATTGGAGTCAATGATAGATGAAAGATCACAAAATGTTCTTTGGATATTTTCACATTCAGATACATTTTCCCAGTCCTTTGAAATATCAGGAGAATAACGGACTATGTATCCACTATAGGAACAGAAAATTAATTGAATGCAATATACGTATCAGAACATTATATTCCAATTCTACTCAATTTGTCTGCCTTTGGCAGGAAAATAAGCAGTGAAATATGTTAAACTGTCACATGTGTAGACCATCTCTGTTATCAATTAAAGATCCCTCTACCCACCAATAATGTCACTTTATTGTCATTATTCTTATGGCCCTCAGCAGTGCATGTACATATACACACTCCTACAAATCTTTCAAACATTTCAGCACATACATATATGCGAAACTTCAAAACAAAATGGTAGAAATGAGATGCAATATGAAAACAAGAAATACGTAAGGATTCTTACGGAAGCAGCTGTACTATGAAGCTCACATTTCCATCATATAGATGATCCCAAGATAAGAAATGGTTCATATTCAAGCTATGAATTTGACAATTTTCAGGACGAGGTAGACCAATCCAAACTAAAAGGAGAGAAAAAAATAATTTCAAATAGTTTTAGAAAAAAATAGCAAGAATGGAGAGCTAAATAGAAGTCTCTAATCCAATTAAACAGGAAGCAAGAGTTGTGCTGGCCTCTTACATTAGAGTAAACCATATTAAATGCAGGTTCTCCAATACCGACAAATTCCTCTTTCTACAATCTTGCAGCAAACAAAGACCCCATCCCCTTTTCAGAATCTGTCATTTTTGCTAGATTTAGGCTTTACTAAACCTCTTCACTAGTTTTTGAGAAGAAAATAGATAAACAGTATACACTCTTCAATGGCCAATCTAGCTCCTATTTAAAACATACATTACTAGAGAACTGCCGAGTTTCTACTTTCTTGGCTTAATATAGTGGTGGCAAACCTATGACACGGGTGCCAGAGGTGGCACTCAGAGCCCTCTCTGTGGGCACGTGCGCCGTCGCCCCAGTCCTAGGCCTTCAGCTGGGTTTTATAAAACCTTTTCGCTTTAGGCCTCCGACGCCGTGTACAAAAAAAAGGTTCAATTAATCAGTCAATTTCAACTTCTCGCGGGGAAAAAAAAAGATCTAGCAAAGTTGGAATTGATTGATTGAACTTTTTAGTCCCACCCAGTCTGCCGTTACTACCGCAGCCATGCCCACCCAATGGGCTACACCCACCCGGCACCCAACGATGCATAAGTGAGTTTTAGGTTGCAGTTTGGGCACTCAGTCTCTAAAAGGTTCGCCATCACTGGCTTAATAAAACATACCACAGTTGCTAACTGTCCCTTTGTCAGGCCTAAAGGAACACTGCCTTAAGGTATCCACTTTGACAGTTTTATTAAAGAAATCTCCAAGAAAGATTGGTAGAAAGTGATAAGATAGTCAGACTAGCTCCTTTCCCATGTCTTGATTACAGTAAAATAGAGGGAAGACAATATGATTCTAAATGCCCTATTATTGTAAGTAAAAATCCATGATTTCCTTTAAAAAAAAGGTTTCAAGGGATTTCCATGCTTAAAATAAACGCATAGAAATACATACCTTTAGAAGTCTGTATACAGGGCGTGGGATTGTTAATAGAAATGCGATAATTCACAAGTGCTTTAACTGTCAAACAATATGTAGTTTCTGGTTCAAGATCATCTATGATTTCACCTGGAAAAATATATTGTGTTTTTTCCTAAAGAGAGACAATTGAATTTATTGTTAGAGTTATTATTGTAGTAATTATATTATTATATTGTAATACTACAACGTTGACAATTCTTGTTGCAAAAAGTTAAAATATGTTATTGGCTTACACACACACACACACACACATCTCAGCAAATATTAATCATATAAGAAACAAACATATTACCTTATAATGGGTTGCATTTTTCCAGATAGTTAGCTGATATTTTATCGTGTCTAGTTGCCACATTTTTTTTTTATCTGCCTCAGGATGTAAAATATTGATTTTTACATCTCCATATATTGATTCAAACCAAACTCCTGGAGGACCCACTTGAGCTATAGATGAAAATATCAGCAGAAAAGATTAATAGTAGTCACTCTGGAATATTTATGCATTGTACTAAATCAGGATAGAAGAGGGTGGGATAGCTATTGTCATTCATACTGGCATCAAGATGTACTATTTCCTAAATTGGATGTATGAATTTGTTTGTGTGATTAGACTCAAAAGGTCATTCGATTTGCTACTGTGTCCCATTCTTCCTCATCCCTGTCAGTATACTTGCCAGGGCTGCTCAGCTCAACTGCTAAGGTGGCAATAGAATCCCCCAAAGTGGTGTTCAGTGTCTACAACTTGCATTCCCTAGAACAGTGATGGCGAAACTTTTAGAGACCGAGTGCCCAAAAGCTGGCCCCGCCCCCGCTCCACCTCCTGCCCCACCCTCCATCCCCCACCCCACCTGCCTGCAGGGCCACTCACCGCCTCCAGGGCCTGCCGCAGATCACCCAGGCAGCCCAGCAGCGCTATGGTGGTCACGCCCTCTGCCCGCGCCCTGCAGCATCAACTGTGCACAATGGGGTGTGAGGGCAGAGTCTTGTCTACACTGCCTGGCTGCCATGTCCTTGGCTGAGCTGCTCCGTGTGGGCCACACTCAGGGGCGACTCTCCTTCAGGGGGGCTGCTGGAGAGGAGGGGGTCACGGGGAGGCGTGGCTGGGGCAACAGCACGTGTGCCCACGGAGAGGGCTCCGAGTGCCGCCTCTGGCACCCGTGCCACAGGTTCGCCACCACTGCCCTAGAACAACCCAGGAATTAATGATCACCAGGACAACCACAGACCTGCCTTTTAAATAACCATTCCCTTGGCTGTATCTCTTTGCCCTGTCTCCCAAGGTCATTCCTACAATACACTTACAATACCCTTTGGTGACCACTTAACTTCAGCAGCTGTATTGGTTGCTGGTTGGTTTGCAAGTGCTGTCAATTATCTTTAAGGCCCTATGTGGCTCTGGACTAGGTTATGTGTGGGATTGTTTTCTCCCATATTAATCTGCCTATCTAATCAGGTTCAATACGGTCCATACTCTCCAGATCCTGACTATACAAGAAATCCAACTGACAGAGTCTCAGTAACTGACATGTTGATTATTGCTCTCATACCTCAATTGCCTCCCCATGGAGATCCTGTTCTATTCTTTCCCATCCTGATTTCAAGAGTGCAATCAAGACCACTTTATGTCAACGAGCACAGGAAGAGAGCACGTTGCAACTGAAGATTTTAATTTGGTAGACACATTTGTGCATAATTCTGAATCTGTATCTGGGTTATTTTAGAGGTAGGTTCATTTTTTTTCCAGAGTTTTCTTACTCTATGATGTTTTTCATGAGAAGCATTAAAACAAAAACAAAGTAAGATGAAATGGTTTGTTTTCAGCATAGTGGAATGCCAAAGTGATTATGAATTAGTCCACAAATCATGGTTAAAAAAAGGCATGATGTAATGTGTGAATCCAACCATAGATACTATTTCCAGTTCAGCAGACTGAAACATATAATTAAAAACAAATAACAAATATTTATTGAAGCTTTTTTAATCAAAAATTTGCAACACCTTTGCTTAGAAACAGTACCTATATCTTGGTCCAAGCTGAGAACAGATACAGTCGGCATACCTTATTCCCTGTCCTCTTGCTCACCTGCTCCTCCACTTTTCAACAAATAGAATGATTCATTATGTTTAATAGTAACTAAAGAAATTAGGATGGGACTAAAGTCACTGACAGTGCCAAGCATCCTTGGCAAAAGCCAAGAATTATCACTGAGTTTCCACTGATTTAATTTCTACCCCAGCATATTAGTTAGCTTCATCTGGTTTTCCGTAAATTTCCTCTTTATGCCATGGAACAATTAAGAAATTAAAAAGCAGGTTAATTATTTAGAAGGCAGCAATAAAGACTTTAGAACCCAATGACCAAGAAGGGTCTAGGAAAAAAATAGGTTCAAGTGGTTAGTGTAGGCCCCAAATGAGAAAGACAGTTGGTAGAAAAAAGACAACTGCTTTGGAATATGGCACCTGGTAATCCTACTCAATGGTTGCCATTGTGGACAATCAGTCATTTCTTATCCACAAGGTGCAAAGAAAAAATGTATTTTTTTTTAAAAAAAGGGAATGATCAAAGTTGTTCTGTTTCGGATTTCAATCTCATTCGTTCCTAGGTGAAAGTAGCAATTTCCTCACAGCTGAATAGATAATGGCAGGCAAGGAAAGGAATGTAAATCAAAACAGAGTCTCTTGGAAAGCTTGCCTATGTAGTTTCACTTTCAGTATAACATACAAAAGGGAAGCCAAATCCATTGTGAAGTTCAGAGAGCTAAGGCAGGTTTGTCAGCCATTCTAAAAGTCAGCGTTCCAGAGACACCACAGCAAGAGATCTGACAGTTGTTTCCACACATGTGTCAGGGCTGCCTCTTCAATCAAGCTCCAGCCAGCTGCCTTTAATCAAGGGATTTACTCCCTTGCTTGGTGGAGTGTCTTTGCTCTATTCTTTGCTCTACTCACCAAGTCCAAGGGCTTGGGAGGTTGTCCACCATTATCTGACTGCTCTAGCTGGTCCAATGGTGCCTGTATTTGAACAGCCTTGGGTGATGCCTGGTTTGAGGGCCCCGAGGGTGTGACTCTACTGGTTCAGCTGGAGCAGCTTCTTCAGAGTCTTGAGTCCTGGGCCATGACAAAAGTAAGATGGGAGAAGGACTAGTTTGAACCACTATAAAAAGAGGAAGCTTGTTAGTTGTTAAAAAAAGTGCTAATTAAATGTGCTGACAACTAATATGGTGTTGTGAGAAGTATCAAAGACTAAAAAAAAATGCAGGTTCAAATTCTGTTCAGCTATTAAGGGCTGAGATAGTATGGGATCAGCCACATCTGATTGGGCAAGAGTTCCGTTTCCTATTGATAAAAGAGAGGACTTTTATGATTACATCACTGGAGGGTTCAATGGAAGGCTATCACTGAAAAGAGTATGCAGGACTACTCTTTCTGATCATAATACCATGTTCACACATCATGCTAAGTCATGGATTGTTTTAACCATGTTTTACTAAACAATATTCATAATTAATGTTGGTCTCCTTCACAAAGGATGTTAAAACAAATGTAATCCATAATGATTCTAGAAATCCCTCTAATTGTTCTATGGACTTCTGATACAAAAGTCCAAAATTTGCGGTGTAATTTCTTATTGTGAGGCAGTAAATATATGCAAATGGCAGAAGATCTCCTAACACTGTATTTTTAATAAAGCCAAAACATACAACATAACCCTGCCCCCAACTGTCTTTCAGAATGGAAAGACAGATACATTGCATGCGCTTTCAGATACATTGCATGCACAACAGAGTCCACCACTTCATAATCTTATTATATGTATTCCCCATGAAAAGTTAAATGTGATCCCAAGACCCGGACAGGATTCTTACTCCTGTTCTATATATTACTTATTTTCATATTTAAAATATAACTGCAAACTTTAATTGGAGAGCATGAAGTACTGCAGGCTTTATTCTGTAAATTCTCTAGCAGTGAAGTTAAAATCAAATAACAAGGGCCAAAACATACATTAGGAGGGTTCACCGTGATTGTACATTGGGAGATGGTCCTTCTGCCTCACTCTTCCTCTGATGTTGGCCCAAGAAGGAACAAATATGGATATTTCTAGCTATACTTTTAAGAAATTAAGAAAACAGCAATAGCACATTTCTTGCAGAAAGAGGAACTGTAATTTAGAAAGCAGAGTAGGCAGAAAGAAAGAGCCTGCTTCTTTTGCAACATTTATTATTTTTTAAATGAAAGATTGAGATATAATCACAGAGTTCTTGGGAAATGTTTGTATATCAAAGAGGAAGACAGTCTGGCATGCAAGGAAGTTGACTAATGCAAAATTGAAAAACAATATGTTGGAAAGAAAGTGTGTTTGCTAGTCTTAAAGAGATAGCGAGTGAGTAAAAAGGGAAGGGTTACCACCAGTAGTAAAAAGATAAGAAATGGGTATGAGAAAGGACTTGATACTTAAATCTGTCCAAAAGTAAGCTGTCTGATAAACAGATGAATGGGGGATAATGAGTAGTTTCCTAAGAAAACAGTATAATCTCCTATATTCCATTCTCTGTCCTCCTAAGAAAGATAAACAATTTTGACCCTCAAAGCATCTCTTAAAAATTCAAAAGTTCTACTGTATGGTGGAACAGGAAGAAAGGACAAACTTTTCTAATAATCCTTTGGTAACTCCAATAGAAACCAATGTTATGGCAACTTAAAGCCTGGTCATTATGAAGCAATAGAAAGGCAGTGGTACAGATGCTTTCAACTCAATTCAACTCCTAGTAACCCCATGGAAAACCATTTGGTGCCTCTGACAACAGTGCAAGAGAATTGCTATTGCCTTAATTTTTTAAAAGATTTCTCTGGGTTTTAATCAGAAACAAAAGGAAAAGGAATGTCTCAAATGCTTGTAAGAAAATGCGTTTTTATTATGTGAAGGCCCAACTTGTATTAGAAAATTCTTTTATCAGGAACATTACAAAACAAAACTGAAGGAGTTTTCCAGAATTCTTTAAACTTTCACACAATAAAATCTATTTTCTTACTGGCATTCTCCCATGGGAAGGGAAGTCATGTCTGGCCTCTTCTCCAACTACTAATGAGGTCGGATACTGCTTAGCTTCTAAATCACTAAGATACTGCTGTTGCCTGTTGAGACAAGTAAAACAAAAATGTACATTTAATTACCAACATTGTTTTCTAATGTGAGTAAACAAGGCAAAGATTCATACCTTCTGTATAAGGAGTAAATTCTAAAAAGGCATAGGGAGAGTGATTTTTCAGAGTGTCCACTCTTATAGTCGCATTATATGGTACAAAATAATCTTGAATTGTTGACGAGAGATCACATTCTGTGACGATTATATTCTGACACTGAGGAACAGCTGCCCAGATTTCAGACTCTCTGGAATAATTTGGGGGGGGGGGAAGCAAAAAGTCTTGTTGGACACATTTTCAAATAAAATGCTGGGAACCAATCATTCATGAAAAAAACCCAAAAGAAAGAATGTTATTACACCTACATTGGTCCTGGAGGCTAGCTTGTTTGCTTGTTTGTTTCCTTGTTTGCTTGCTTGCTTTATTTATTTATTAAACTTATATGGTGCCCATATCATCAGCAGAGATTCTAGGCAGCTTACAATCATTCAATGAAATGCCAGTATAAAACATTAAAACAATAAATAGTAACATTAGGTTTGAATTAAAACTGACAAATATAGAGAGGAAGGAACAAGATGCACATGGGAAGGGGATGGTGATGGGCTGGTTGCCAAAACAAAGCAATATTATGGTGTGCGCTTGAAAGGAGACCAGGAAGTCTGTAATTGGGGAGTTTATCTGGCAAGAACAAAGAATGCTTTTTCAGAGGGAATATGCATCTGTAAAACCTGTAACAATTCTGGGTGGTTAGAAAGCTGATAAAAGTAACAAAGAGGCATTTTGTAGACTCAGCTAAAAGTTAGGAATAGAGATGGCCTGGAGCAAATAAAATGTGTATTAAATAATTCCTGAAGCATTCATTAGCCAAGGCTTAGGAATAGGGATGGCTAGATACCAATAGAATAATTGTTAGATCATTATTAAAACGTTTATTAGGTGACATTATTTATGTATCCGGCCTTATCCCGCCTTTTGCTCTAGTGAAAATGTATAAAACTTTTCTTAATTCTGTGGTTTGAGGTTCCTTGACATTTTGGCTATGATCCCTTTTCTTGGAGCGCTTCAATAAAAGAAAAGAAAACCTGCACCGCGTGTCTGGTGATCTTCATCGGCCTCAGCACCAGGCTGAGACCCCAATTGGGGACAACAATGGGGTCCTATCTTAATCCATTAAATACTTCCAGAATCCCATATTGCTATTGGGGACTCAGGGCATTGGCAGAGCTAGGTTTTTAGGTCCTTTCAGAAGGCCAAAATGGCGGGTGCACATCTCACCACGGGGCGTGGGGGGGGGTGGGCACTGTATTCCGGCGGGCAGGAGCCACAGCAGAAAAGGCTCTTCTCCTTGGCTCTGCCAGCCAGAATTCCTTGATCAATGGAAAATTATGGAAATAACTCCTGTCCTTGCAATACTCTAGCTCAGTGTTTCTCAACCTTGACAATTTTAAGGCATGTGGACTTCAACTCCCAGAATTCCACAGCCAGCATTGCTGGCTGTGGAATTCTGGGAGTTGAAGTCCACATGCCTTAAAATTGTCAAGGTTGAGAAACACTGCTCTAGCTTGCCCCACACATAAAAAATATACCTTATTTTAAAAACCTGATAAGCCTGCCTTGAAAGCATCAAGAACACTTCTACACATGTACAGTGTTATTCATTACTATTCCTGCTTTAAAGGAACAGAACATTTATATGCTGCATCTTCCATGCATCTTCCTAATTTTAACCAAAATAGAATCCCATTCAAAAGTGTTGCAAAACAGGATAAAATGTATCCTTACCTCTGGTATCGTACTGAAAATGTTACATTGAGACCACATGGATTATCCCAATCCCACTTCAGTGTAATATTTGCATTAATAACGCTGATGGAAACATTTCGTGGGTGTTCCAGACATGTTAAACCTGTGAATATTTTAGAAAAGAACATAATAAAAGTTAAAAAAAGCAGGTTAAAATATTATGGGATTTCTCAATATAGACTGATAAAAGTCTTTGCTCCTAACACACCAGATATAACTGATTGAAAAGAAGAAACTGCAGATAAATATTAGGGAACAGTAGAATACAAGACAAAGAATTGGAGATCATGAAGTCTCAAGATCTAAAAAATGAAACTGGAAGATTATAGCATAAACCAGCAATGGTGGTCCCAGCGGTTACTGGCAGCAATGGATTCATACCAAAAAGCCTTGGAGTAAAAAACAAAATTGCCAGCTGTCAATTACAAAAAACTATGCTGCTTGAATCCACATATATATTTGAGAGGAGATCACTGTCAACTATTGCTATCTTCCCCACCTCAGATTCACCAACAGTAGCCAAACCTCCTACAGCTACCTTCAACCCTCTAGGCTCCCACCTCTAGTGATCTTAGAAAAAGATGTGTGAGGCCTATTTCATAGACAAAAAGAATGGAAAAGCACCAGACCTGGATGGAGTAACTCCTTCTTGCTAGAAACGCTGTGTTGAACAACTGGCCCCCATTTTCACCCGCATCTTTAATAAACACTAGTGATGTGCTATGTCCCTTCTTGCTTCAAATTTATTTATTTATTTATTTATTTTATTTTATTGAATTTTTACCCCGCCCTTCTCCTTACGGACTCAGGGCGGCTGACAGCCTGATAAAAAACAAATACAAAAAATACCCCAATACTATCGTTAAAAAACATAATTAAAATGAAATATTAGATTTGGCCTTTGATTAATTTAAAATTGGTT